ACGTGGATCCTATAGAGGCGATTTATTACTAGCTGAACTTATCGAATACTATATAGCTAGGCCTCTTTTATTATTACAGAAATATGAGCACACAGCTCTTAAAAACCGAATAAAAATAGAATATTAATTTAATATTTTCAATTAATTTTATATTTGTATTTAGTGTTTTTTATTTATTTATTTTTATTTATTTAATTTTTTAAAGTTTATTTATTTATTTTTTTATTTATTTCTTTCATTTTATTTTTCATTTGCTTATTTTATTTTTTATCATATATTTTAATTTATATATATTAAATAATTATAATATAATTTTTTTTTATTTTTTTTTTATTTATTATTTAATTTTTTTATTTATAAAGTTATTTATTTTATTACTTTATATCTATTTATATTTTATTTTTTATTTTACTTTATTTTTATTTATTTTTTTTTTTTTTTTATTTATTACTTAATTTTTGTATTTATATATTTATTTATTTTATTATTTTGATTAGGACATAATATTTTCAATAAAATGAAATAAAATTTAATTAAAATTAATATTCCATAAGCATAATATTAAGAGTATAATTCCAGTATAATTCCAATTCCAAAACTTGAATTGTGCCTTCATTGTAAGCCCCTCGAAAGACCTCAGCTAGTTGCCTAAATTTTTCCATATTAACTCTCATCTCACTCTCTCTCTCTCTCTCTTCCTATCTCTCTTTGATAACTTCTCAAGCCTTTCTTATGGAAATTTAAGGCCTTTTCAAACCGTTCGTAAGCCACACTTGAAATCCCCACTATCCGCTTTAACCTTTGCTCAATCACCTTCCGCACTCAACACCCGTGTAAGCCCCTGGAAATCCACTCAAATTAGTCGTTAAATCTATCAAGCTAACAATATTCATATTTGTTGCGTATATAGTCCACAATGCAAGCGCGACTAACCTTTTGAGCTAATGAGCCGCACTTTTGGGGGTCGCACACTGGGTCGGCACAATGGACGCAATTTGCATAGAACTCACATCCACATCATGTGGCTGGGCCCATCTACATAGCTGATATTTATCATTTTCAATAAGCCGCAGCGCATTGCTGCCATATCTACTGTGACAATCGGGCAGCGAGTTCTGATCGTGGGGCATAAATCACGAGCGGGGCCAACCGAAACCAGTTTCTGTTTCTGTTGCTGTCTCTGTTTCTGTTTCTGTATCTGTTTCTGTTGCTCTGATCTAGCGCCAAAGATCTAGGCGCATAAATTCAAATTAGATAAAAATAAACTTTTACCAAGCAGGTGATTTAGTACTTTAACCAAAATATAACAGCAAACGCAGGTGTTTCGCTGCAAACTCAAAAAAAAAGAGAGACACAAAGAGAAACAAGTTTTCCAGATTTATTCTCAAGTCTCAAGTTTTTTTTGTTTTTTTCGCCTATGACTGCGACTTGAGATATTTGCCTGCTAATTTCTTGTTATTTATGCGGCCGTTGCGCATTTGCTGTGCTGTACAGCCCCAAGCGAGGCCCCTCCCCCTACCCCCATTCCTGCTCCATGTCGTGGGCAAACAATGGAGAGCTTAGCACTTGCCGCTGCCGCTGCTGGGCGGCCCCACAACTCGCCAGAGTTGAGCCCATTGTTTGTCTGACAAAATGACAATTACATGTGAGGAATTTCAACAAAAATACAAAACAAAAAAAAAAAGACAGAAAAATATTATTAAAATAAATATTTGTGTGCTAAACAAATTGCCTGTCGAGACTTGGGATAAATGTGTTTCTATGTCTGTGGGTGAATTACAAACAACAAAATACGAAATCTAAAATTGTTATTGATACAGCTGACAAATGTGGCCAGATGCGAATCGAATTGATTTCAATTGGAAAAATACTAAAGGTTAACCATGCTGCTGACAGTTGGGGAATTTCTATTGCCAGAACTTCTGCTAAATGCGCAAGAATTAGATTGAAATATAAAAAAAGCAACTTGAATATCATTTAAATAAATTCATAGATTAAAATGAAATCAAAAATAAAAATCATTATAATTTCTCTCTATATTTAATTGATATATGATAAATGAGATGAAAATCATCTCAGCTGAATGTAACAAATTTTACGAAATTTCTTATTGAATAATTGATTTCAATTTTGTATAATAAAAAATAAAATAAATATATATAACAAAAACAAGAAGAAATACAAATAAATCGAAATATTAAAAATAAAAAAAAATAATAATAAAATAATAAAATAAATAATAAAAAATAAATAAAAAATAATAATAAACAAACAAAATCTTTAGTAAACAAAATTAATAAAAATCAATAACTCAACAAAATCGTTTTAAAAGTATAAAAAAATATTAAAATAAAAAGTTCAGTACATATTAAATACAAATAAAAAATGATTAAAGCTATATTAATATCAACATTTATTTTTAGCTTCAGCAAACTTAAAAATTGTTTAATTGTTATTCATCGCAAAGTACTGTAAGACGAAAAAAAAAATACTATGAATATCTTGCAAATAAAAAGCACAGAAAAAATATGAATATTATGTTAATTAAATCACATGAAAATCTCCAGTTTTCAGTTGAATACTAATAATTAGTATATAGTATTTATTACAGAATTCCATTGACTTCATCCATTGCAAAGCGAGTGGAGTTGGAACTAAAATTGGTTTTTCCGTCAAATAAATTTCCAGCTTTATTTAGTTAGGCTACAATTATTAAACCCATTTATGAGCTGCATCCAATCAAGTTGCCCAGTTTATAGTTTCGTAGTTTCCTCACATATAATTTATTCAATTGCCAACCTCATTTTGGCTGCCCGCCCACACACACACACACACACATAGCACCTTTGGGCAAATACCAAGAGAAACAACTCAATGGCAGCTCTTTGTGCAGTTGCGGCGACTGCAGCTAAAAGTCGCATGTGAAAATTCACACTGTCATCCCAACAACAACAACAACAAGCTGAGTTAAGGCCTTAGGCCAGACCCGGCCAGGGCTGGGCTTTGGGAATTGGCTGGGATGGCACTTCATTAAATAGACGCCGCGGCGCTTTTCGAGCCCAGCCACGCCCCCAGCATTACCCACATGGCGGGTGGCGTGGAGAGGGGGGGGGGGGGGGGGGGGGGGGGGGGGGGGGGGCACCACTCAAGCGGCTGCTTATTTTTCACACATGCTCGTCGGGGAAAAACAACTGCAGAAAAAAAAGGCCAAAGAAAATAAAGAAAATGCCAACAGCAAAACGAGGCAGAAATTTAAGCAACAAAAATTTTGTTGTTTTTTGTGTTTTTTTTTTTCTCTCTCTCGTGCTCTGTTGTTTATGATGACAATTTTTTATCGCTTTCGACGACGAGGACGTCGACATGTGGCCATAAAGTTGTCGGTAAATAACAAACAGGCGGCGACAAACGCACAGCGGCGGCAGGCGTGGCAGCCGCCCACAAGGCATGCCACAAAATGGAAGGGAAAGAAAAAGAGAGAGAGAGTGCAAAAAAAGAAAACATGAGGAAATAAAAGGCAGGCGTCAAATTTTGCACAGGATGTTTGAGCGCTGGATCGGGATCCTTGACTGCCAAAAAAACAGAAACAACAAAGACCAAATGAAATAAATGAAAAAGTATCTCACGGATTGCAGCCAAAGTATCTGCGCTGGCAAACATGTTGCATGCATTTCCGTTGGCCCAAGAAAGAAAAAAAAAAATGAAAGCAAGACAACGGTTATTTCAACTCAATTTCGTAATATCTTTCAGCTGTGCCACGAAATTATGCTCAATCGAGCGCAACATTTGCGCATTATGCAAATCGTTTTTGCATCCAAATTTAAATGTCTGAGCTAAGCTTAGCAACAACAAAAAAATATGCAAATACAGAGACAGAGAAAGACACTGATACATATTTATATATGTACATGCACATATATAGAAACAAAAGCAAGTCTTGTATATTAAAATGTTTGTACTTTGCGCTAATTTTGCATTTCGCTGAAACCTGTTTTTGTTGTTTGACCTTGAAATGTTGCTAATGTGCGACCATAATTAGAGATTAGTCATGCTGGCTTCAGGTGGAATTATGATTGAAATGCGTTATAAGTTAATTGCCCTGCCGTCGCCTTTGCCTTGACTTGACAGCTTAGAGAGTTTATTCAATTTGCAAAATTGCAAACGACTTTAATGCTTGATAAAGTTTTGACTGGCCAAAGAACTTGAAGCAACTTTAATTGCAGGCAAAGTTTGTATACTCATTCATGAAAGTCAAGTGGGTTTATTAGTAATTTATTTATTCATTTTTTGTATTATTAATATTTTTTTATTATTATTATTATTTTATCATTTTTATTTTATTTATAATATATATAACTTTATAACTTATTATAACTTATTTATAACTTTCTTATTATATTTTTGTGTATTTATTTTTTATTTATAATTTTATTTTATTTTTTTTTTTTAGACTGCAGTCAAGTTTAAGTTTTTAATGAATGGAAAACAATATTTAAAAACTTAATAAAATGCAATATATGTATTAGTAATTTATTTATTCATTTTTTACTATTATTTTTATTATTATTATTTTTTAATATTACTATTATATATTTATACTTTTTTATTTTATTTTTTATTTATTTTATTTGTTATTTTTAATTTTTTTTTTATTTGTTATTTTATTTTTTTTTTTTTTTTTAGACTGCAGTTTCCAAGTTCGTGTTTTTGATGAACTGAATATAATATTTAAAAACATAATAAAAAATATACATATACAAATATATAATTTTTTAAGTATAAAAATCATTTTCTTATATACTTTTACTTTCCCAACTATAACTATTATATATATATATATATATATATATTCTTTATAATTGTATTTGTATTCATTGACCACATTTATTTCCCTATTTTATATACTTCTGCAAATGTCTCACAGACATTCAGCATTAAATTCCCATTAAATTATGCTCGAAATAAAGCCCTAGCCAAAACAAAGTCAACTTCTGAACACTCACCCATAAAATTCTTGATGCTCAGCAACATGTGTATCCACTCGACGACTAATCCACACACAATTCGGTCTGTCTATAATCTGTAATGAAGAGCAAAACATATAAATTTAATATGCTGTCCCATAAATATCAACGCTGCACTTAAAAACAGAGCCAGAAAGAGAGAGAGAGAGAGAGAGAGAGTCAGAGACTAAATGAAAATAGCCAAAAATAATTCAAATTAAATACAGAAAAAAAGAGGAAAATGGAAAATGTTTTGTCAGCTGTTACGATTTAAAGGATTGACAATGAAATTGAATACGCAACGAGAACTTGGACTAAGTGAAAATTAATAGCACACACACTCAACAAGAGGTGCAAGAAGAAGAAGCAGAAGAACATGATGAAGAAATGCGTAAAACTTTCACTTGAAATTTGTTGAAACACGAAACTTGAAATGACTTTTTGAACTGTGAACCGAATACAGAGAGTCGAGCCAAGTTGATGATTGAAGCTGAAATAGGATGAGCTGCCGAGAAGCTGGAGCTGTGGAGCTGTGGAGCTGGGAGCTGGAGTGGAGTGAAATGGCATCATAAATATAAATAATACACATATTTCGAAGTGTGTCGCCCTGTAACTAACACGCGTATGGAGCTGGGGCCACAGATGGGGCAGGAGCAGGGGCAGGGGCAGGGGCAGGAGGGCATCTGCCTGCATGCCACAGCAAAATGTGTGTGTGGCAGCATCGCCAGAGCGACAACATTTTGACACACTTAAGTGTTAGACAGCGCTCCGACAGCCAGCATCATCAGCATCATCATCATCATCTCCTCATCATCATCATCAGCAGCAGCATCAACATCATCTCTATGATCGTAGTACATGTTGTCAGAGGGTCGCAGCGATAAATTTGGAAATTATGAACATAATTCTTCATTAGGTCGCAACAACCGATAATGGAGACTGAAGAGGCGTCCCAGCAAACGCAGCCAAACGAGAGTGAAAGAAGAGCAGCAGCAGCGGCAGCCGCTGCATCCACAGCTTCCCGCTGCCCACACTCACTTTCATCTACTCTGTGTTTGTGTGTGAAAAGCCTAACGCCTGGTGATAAATTGGCGATATTACGCACTCTGGCTTTGGGATTATTTTCACATTTTTGCACGTGGGCGTCGATCGAAAGTTCCGCCCTGTAAGCTCCAGCATTTCAAGAATGCCACAAAACGCACACGCACACGCACGGCAATAGCTAACCAGACCGGACCGAACCGCACCGGGAGTCAAGTCCCATTGATGGAGCGGCGATTGTGGGGCATTTAAATTGAAATAACGTGATTTTTGTGGTCCGCTGGTCACAGGTCCGGCGCCTCTCTAACCGGTGGGCGGGGCTGAATGCCAGTGGCATAGATTTTTTCAAAACTATTCCGACTATTGTTTTGCGGTTTTGCGCAGATTTTGTTTGGGCTATGCTTTGAGTGTGTGTGTGTGTGTGTATATTTTTTACATTTCTATTTTTTCGTAACTTTTTTCGGGCTTAAATGAATCGGAACGCACTTTTCACTCGAATTTTTCGGGGGGGTCGTTATGTGTGTGGGTGGGTGTGGCCATTATTCGGCCTTGTGGGCTTAGCTTTTCAGCGAGTTATGAGCTGTGGGGGCCAAGCTGACTGACATTGGCAACTGCTAGAGCTTTCTATTTTTAAATGTTTGAAAAGATTGAAATATCAATGAAATACTGCAGCTTCATTGCATAGCAGCAGTTCAATTAATTGTTTGTAATTTTTAAAAATAAATAAAATAAAAAAAAAAACACTTTCAGTCTCTCCCCGACGGGGAATTGAACCCCGGTCTCCCGCGTGACAGGCGGGGATACTAACCACTATACTATCGAGGACGTTAATAAACGCTCGTCCAAAAGTCTACATGAAACGTTGCTGCTATCAGCCAAGCAAATGAGCGTAACATAGCAAGAACAGCGTCACGCTTGAGTAACTTTTTGGCATGAAAGCTTACAAGTGTGAGAGTTTGTCGTTTATTAATCACACGCAATATTAACAAGTTGGGCGTATGTATTTATGCGACTATTTATAGCGACAAGCTTTTGCATAAATGTTTGGCGTTTGCTTTGTTGTTGTTCTTCGTTTCTCTTCATTTTATTCATTATGCGATGTCATTGCTGAGTTTATGTTTATGAGCGATTCTCTTATTTTGTCTCGCTTGCACAGCGGCAAAGCTCAAAGTGAAGACATTTTAATACTATGCCTATGTGTGTGATGTCAGCTATTGTCTTTATTTAAATGGGTATATCAAAAAATGTATAAATGAATAGTTTTTACTTCCGATAGCTGAAGGCACAGCCAATTTTATGGAATTTCAATAGCTTTGCCTATAAATGTGTCTGCACCCATACATTCATACATTCACAAATATTTGTGAATTTCATACACAAGATTTAAATGCACATATTGGATGCACCTTGGTTCTGTGTTCCACTTTAACAGCACTCAAAGGCTGTCATCACGTCAAACTTTGTTGATAACAGCTCTTTGGAGACCTATTACAAAAACTATGAAACAACTGGCAACTAGCAACAAAGTGCCGCAGTCCCAAAACGATTTCTGAACCATTCCGACATAATGCATAAAGCATAACAACAAAAAACGCAAAAAGCTTTGCTTGTCTGCGCTTCACATGTGAATGTCGACTGCATTTGGGTATCTCACAGTCCAATTCACTCAGCGTATAGCACATGCGAGTGCGAGCAGGACAGCATCAGCAGTAGTGGCACGCGGCGACCACAGAAACCGCAAGGTGCGTTTGTGCTGTTTGCTTTTATTATTATACATATTATTGTTGCTGCAAAACACAGTCGGTCCAAAGGATGGAAGGGAGCAAAAATCGTGCAAAATAACAAAGCAAGAAAAAAAACTGTAAATAAAAGAAACAATTACACAAACAATTCGATTGCAGCCGACGCTGCTGTCGCCGCTGGCAGCAAATACGCCACTCAACTGACACTCAGCTGGCGGCGCTGGCAGCAGCAGAGCAGCAGAGTAGCAGCAACAGCTCTCCCTCTTGCGCTCCCACTCCCTTTTTGAGTGCAATCATGCAAATAAAACATTTTTTATATGCATGCCTTACAGTGTATGTGTGTGTGTGTGCTTGTCTGTGTGCGTGCAAAATTTTAACCCAAATATTTTGTAGACATGCAATATTTATGCTGCAACAGCAACAACAACAACAACAACAACAGCAACATCAGCAGCTACAGTGCAAACTGGCGCAATTACAACAATAACAATAACAGTCAGCCGACAGCAGCAACAACAACAATATTTTTTGATGTAATGGACATTTGCTACTTTGCAAATGGGTTTCAATTTTTGTTTTGGGACAAAAACTGCAACTGACAAACCAACCAACCCCCGCCACACACAACTGACTCTACTGTGTCGGGCAGCTGTAGATTTTTGCATTTGTTAATGTCCCTTAATGCAGCTGTCCCTCAAACACTCACTCACACTCTGTCCCACTCACTCCTGCTCAATTCACAATTTAGCAGCAGCAGCAGCAGCACTGCAACACTGTAAAGCTTAAAAGTCTACATTGTCTCATCCTCTCCTCTCTCTCTGTCTCTCACTCTCTCGCTCTTTGTTTTTCGCCCGCATTTAGCGCGCATTTCTAATTTTCATAAACACATTAAAATGATAATTAAAAGGCATTTCAGTATTTTTCTTTCTACTGCTGCTGTTGCTACATTATTTATTTATTATGTATGCAAATGCATTTAATTGCATGGACAGCATAGTACCAGCTTTTGGGCAAGGTGGCAAAGGGTGGGCGCAACGTCAAACAATTTGCATATTTTAGCATGTAATGAAATTTGTAATAATTCTGCAATTAATTGCGTGTGTGTCCTTGTTTATGGCCACTGCGAAACCTACGTGGAACAGCAACACCAGCGACAGCCGTAACTGGAGCAACAGTAGGTGCTGTATACTATGTGTGTGTGTGTGTGTGTGTGTGTGGGTAGTCGTCATGTAGGTAGTCACAGCTGCGGCAGCCACTGCTCACACACACACACACACACACACACGCTTTGACAAGCTGCGAATTTTGCTTTTAAGTGAAAGCTTTTCATTATTATAATGTAACGGTAATGACTACATCTGTGTGTGCGTGCGTTTGACATAACAAAGCGAATTTGTTTGCAGCAATTGAATAATTGTAAAATAGCATTTGATACTCTCAGTGCATACCCTGTAGAAAACAACAATAAATATTTGATTTAGATTCAATCTGCAGTTATTTCGCCTCAAGTATTTATTATTGATGCGCAGAGAAAGCTTTTGTTTTGTTTGCTTGGCCCAGGCATTTAACTTGGCTCGAACTGTGACCTCGAATGGACAATGTGCAAATAGCATTTAATTTTCATTTAATTTTCATTTATCTGCTTTTTGCAAATTTGTTTCAAAATGCTTGTTTACATTTATCTATTCGAGAGCTAAATATTTGTCTATACAAGATACTTTGTTTTTATTATTTTATTGTTAATATTGATGCTGGAACATCTGTGTTGCAAGCCTCGCTTTTGTTGGCATGTTTTCTTTTCATTTGCAGCACAAATAACAAGGGAAATATATGTACATATATAATAATTACATGAGTATATGTATGTATGTATATAAATGTATATATAAAATATATATGTATATGTAGTTGTGTTCATACAAAATGTTTGCTTCGAATATAACCATGAACCAACTCATTTGTATAATATACGTATGTATATCTAAAATATATATATATATATTTATATATTTATATATCTAACTGAATTTAGATTTCATCTAGAAATTGCAGCTTTTATCTTGTATCTAAATAGATATTTTGATTTTCATTTGGATGTCTCTGTGTGTGTGTGTGATGTTTTTCAATTATGTAAGGGCACCAGGCATCAGTTGTTGCCATTTTCCCTTGATTTTCCCTTGATTTTCATTTGTTTTTCTTCGCATTTTTTTTTTTTTTTTTTGCCATTTGCCATTTGGCCGCTTCATTGCATTTGTCTCGACTCTGAACCCTCAAGGACAGACAATAGATTTCAA